ATCTTTTTTGATAATTAATTTTAATGCATGATCTTCGCTACTATTTTTGACATTAATGACATTTCTATTTCCTTGAACCGTTCTCAATGAAACGTTTCAAAAACAGATGCAGCTGGTTTAAACCTATTTCAACGTGACGTCATTGTTTGCTCACTCGAATGGGAATGGTTCAAACCGTTTTCGAACCGCATGAAATATATTTAAACCAGAATAGACCTCACTTAGAATTCGTAATAACTAAGTTATTTTTTCGATATTTCTGGCAATGTCATCTGTATCTGTAACGTGTGGAGGGTGGGTTACCCCCACGGCACTTAGGCCTCATTAGGCCCATTGTGCGTTCTTCTAAGATGATAGGCACCTCCTAGCTCGTCAGCCAGCCTACAGATTTAATGTAGTTGACAACGTCACCAAGAGGTGCTTCTCTTATATCGGCCGGTGTTAGCCGATACTCGTCGAACACAAATCTTCTAATAAATAAGAGCGTCGGGCAATCGCAAAGGATATGCTCGATGGTCTCATCTTCTTGTTCGCACCCTCTGCAGAGTGCGGATTCTGACAGCCCCATGATATGGAGAGGCTTCCGTACTTGGCAATGACCAGTCAGAATGCCTGTGACCAGACGCAGATTCTGTCATTTTGCCAATTGTCAATTGTCAATTGTCAATTGTCAATTGTCAATTGTCAATTGTCAATTGTCAATTGTCAATTGTCAATTGTCAATTGTCAATTGTCAATTGTCAATTGTCAATTGTCAATTGTCAATTGTTGTTTTCTGTTTCCTCCATCTTCATGATTCTCGTGAGTGACAGTCGTGGTGCATTTTTAAATTGTACTTTATTTGATAAGATGTTTTAGAAAAAGGTAAAAAAAATAGAATGTGACAAAATAATAAAGTATATTTAACCGAATTTGGTATTTGGTAAAGAACCGGATGATGACGATCTGGCGGTTGTAAGGTGAGCAGAAAATGGCTGACGCTGCGTAAAAAACAAGTCTTTTGGCCACCTTTATAAAGAAATATATGAAGAAATATACTATAATATAAGACTGGTGAGTAATGTTATACTTTTATTTTTTTATTATGAGTTCTATCAGGGTATTTTTTTAATAGTTTATTTAAAAATAAAAGATTTGTAGGGGGTCACTTGATTTAGATACCTTTTATCATCTCACAGAATATATGATCATTTTGTTTATTAACTTTTATTATAAACTCGGACTATATGTATAACTTTGAGAAGGTAGTTTTTTCAACTAGATACACAATTTACTTTCTATCTTTAAGAATTTTCAGTGGTCTGTATTTTAATAGTTCTTTTATTTTAGATGACAATGATAAGTGATGTACCAAATTAAAAAAAGTCGAAGTTACCTCAGATCTACATTCCAAGGCTGATAAAGTACCTACTAAAAGAAAATTGGAACCAACTAGAAAGCTGTCATTCGATGATACTGAAGATGATGAAATCGTAAAGCATGCTCGCCCACCCCCAATTAAAATCAAATCTACAATTTTAGGTATGTTGTGTCAGTTCCTCTAATATTCTTTTGTCATTTTACTCCGTTTGGTTTCTTGCTCATAACTTTTTTATTTACCAGTGTAATTTCTTTTTTTATAATATGTGTTTTTTGGATTAAATAAATAACTTTCATCTGCTTAGTATTTTTAATAATTCCATCCAACCTTGGGACACCCAATATAGACGTCACTTTGACGTTAGGTAGAATCGTGATAATGACGTCAATTTACCTAGCCTAGGACACCCGATCTGTAGTAGGTTTCCGAAAATGCCTATATAAGTTTAAAGTAATGCTTTCGCCAATAAATGATGAAAATTAACAAGTAGCAATATCGGGCTGTAAATTTTTACAATTTTAAGCGTGGCTTAAACAGTAATAAAATTTTGAGTAAATCAATCGAGTACTTGGTGACAAGTCGTGTTTTTGTTTTAAGTTATTTGTTTAAGTATTATAGTACCTATCTATTATTTGTATATTGAGTGAGTGTCAGAGCATAATACCTAATTTTATATTTGTTTTCTTAATTATTTTAGATACTGTCAAAGATAGTTGTGGCTGTACTACTTCTTGAGTAGAAGGGTCAATAAAAATTTGGTTAAATCATGCTGGTGAACATTTAAAAAATAAAGTTAACGTTCAACAAAAACAACATTGAAATATTTAGGCCCGTCAAAACTGATGTTTAAATTTGGCTTTAGGGATTTGTTTTTTATTATCTATTAAAAATATTCAAAGACAAATATATTATATATAAGAAAGAATTAGTGGGAAAGAGGCAAATGCAAAAGAGAATTTCTAAAGATGGATTTACGTTAAAAAATTTAACAAAAAATAGATAACAAGTTGCCTGCAATATAAATTTATATCAAAAACCAAAAATTGATTGATAATTCTGAAGAATTTACATCCAATGATATGATTCTGAAAATACATTTTTCCACTACTTCATAATTAAAATTTATGATTTATTTTTTAATTTAAATTTGACAAACATTTTTTTATGAATTATTTTAATTCTCCATCCCAGCTATATTTAGTTTTGTAATCCAACTAGCGTCTTATTGACGTATGCAGCTAAAGTCATATTAACGTATTCAACTACACGTCATTTTTACGATTATATTTTTAAAAGTCATATTGGTTTTGATTCTGACCAAAAAATTACGTTTAAAAACCGCCACTCTGCTACCTGGGTAGTTAAAAAAAACGAAAGGAAATTCAAAGGTTTTGCCATGGATGGTATTTTATCAGCTGTTATATTTAAAGCGAAATGTTCATAAAAAATCTTAATTGTTTCTTTTTCTAGTCGTGACCGTTATGACGCTTTATAATTCTAAAAACATGAGTTTTAATACGTAGGTAAATAAAACAAATAAAATATCCAAAACAATTTATTTATATGTATACTTATAATTAATAATCTATGCTTTTAAGATTCTAAATACCCTAGTAGCTTGTTTATTACAAATTATTATTCCAAACCTATATCCACTTATTCGATTTTGACCATAATCGCAGTCACGCCATGTCATGTAACAAAAAACAAAATTGTCATTGTTTATTATCGCAAAATAAAAATTTTATTATCTCAGTTCTACGACTGGTGTCATTGTAGATATATAAACAGAACAATGAATTTAACAAGAATTCGTTTTGTTTGAATATTTAATCAAATAAAAAACTATATTATTTAGTTTTAAATTGTAAACTAATAGAATTCAAGAAATATGAATTTAAAAAAAAACAGTCCAAGTACAGGACATATTTATAAAAATTAAAATCATATTTTATTTATACCTAGATGACTTAAATATCAGTATATTAAAAGAAATAAAAGCTAAAAAAATGTACTAGTAATCCGCTTATTCAATTATCCATTGTAAACATTTGCCTTTTTTTTAATACGTACGCATTAACTTTTTCAAATATTACAGATCTGTAATAGCTATTTGTGTATTAGGAGCGGAAAGTGCTACTGTGCCGCTTGAGATAAAAGTTGCCGCGCGACGCGCATCGGAGTGTGAAATTTTATCGTAAGCGGCAAATAGCTTTCCGCTCGAATTACAAACAATATTTTTTCTACGATCACACGATATTAAAAGTATATAGACTTATTTTGCCAAAGTCAAATCTTACAACGTTAATTTGACAGACTCGGCTAACTTGACTAGCAAACGAAAAGTATGTTATGTGTATATTGTGTTGCCTGCTTACTTGAAGATTAATTTTATGATTAGCATAAAAAATATTTGTTAGTAAGTACATCTTCAAAATAACTTCCAAGATCGGTTAGGATACTCTTAATAGCAAATTGATGGCTCATCTACTGGTTTAAAAGTTTTACAAATAAAATAATTAACTTAAAATTAAAAAAGAGCAACCAGTGAGAATTGAACTCACGACCTTTCGGTTGAAAGACCAACGCGTTACGCTCTGTACCAACAAGGCATGTTAAATATGGGGGTTAAAAACAGGGTAATTTATTTTTAATGTTTCAATTATCAATCAATAGGCTTTATTGCCTTGTAGAGCTTGATTTTTGCTAAAAATTTCATGTGGATATCGTTTTTCATTTTTAATTTGACATTTTTTCCCAGGAAATAACTTTGTATTTCGTGCATATTTTATTTTTTTATTTGTAAAAACTATTTTTTTTTTAATTTTGACATATAAAGTGACATATTTTGTAATCGCAGCAAGTGTCAAAACGATCTACTTTATGCGTTGCATAAAGTATAGAACATTATGCAACTGATTACGAAAAGTTGATTATGTCACGAAATGAAAATAAATAAAAATGAATCTTTTTTTGGTTTTAAAACCGAAAAATCGAAAAATCGAAAAATCGAAAAATCGAAAAATCGAAAAATCGAAAAATCGAAAAATCGAAAAATCGAAAAATCGAAAAATCGAAAAATCGAAAAATCGAAAAATCGAAAAATCGAAAAATCGAAAAATCGAAAAATCGAAAAATCGAAAAATCGAAAAATCGAAAAATCGAAAAATCGAAAAATCGAAAAATCGAAAAATCGAAAAATCAAAAAATCGAAAAATCAAAAAATCGAAAAATCGAAAAATCGAAAAATCGAAAAATCGAAAAATCGAAAAATCGAAAAATCGAAAAATCGAAAAATCGAAAAATCGAAAAATCGAAAAATCGAAAAATCGAAAAATCGAAAAATCGAAAAATCGAAAAATCGAAAAATCGAAAAATCGAAAAATCGAAAAATCGAAAAATCGAAAAATCGAAAAATCGAAAAATCGAAAAATCGAAAAATCGAAAAATCGAAAAATCGAAAAATCGAAAAATCGAAAAATCGAAAAATCGAAAAATCGAAAAATCGAAAAATCGAAAAATCGAAAAATCGAAAAATCGGAAAATCGAAAAATCGAAAAATCGAAAAATCGAAAAATCGAAAAATCGAAAAATCGAAAAATCGAAAAATCGAAAAATCATAAAATCATAAAATCGAAAAATAGGACACAATAACTAATTTTAAAAATAAATACCCAAAATCGTCTTCTGTCGTGTTTAATGTTACTTAAGGTGGTTATTAAATTTAAAAGTTATTAGAAATTTAATTATTTAGTGTTATAGTTAGTAGTAATTGCAGAAATAAAAAAATTGAATAAAAGGTTTTGAGATGTTTGACCTACTACAAATTAAATAAATATTAAATCTACTTTTTCATATTGAAGTCCTGCTTTTTGGTCGTAGACAAAATAGTATGGGCAATTTTTATGTAATATTAATACCCTTTCGTAAACTACTCGTATATGAAACACTCCTTCGGTTCGTTACATATTCCGGTTAATGCTCGTGTATTAATAACCTCTTCCCCTCAATGGAGCTGCCCTTGCGTTCATGGCCCAAAAGTATATCAGCAATAATCTACTAATTTACAGTAACAATAATTTTGATATTTTACAAAACAAATCTCATCTAGAAGCAGTATTTACAGACTTTTGCAAAGCCTTTGACCAGGGAAACCATGACATTCTTTTGAGTAAGATTAGTGAATTTGGATTAACACGAAACTTTTGTAATTGATTAAAATTATCTTAAAAGAGATAATTCGTTATTAAAAAAGACGAAAATACTACTGGAAAACTTTATGCCATCTCTGGGGTACCTCGGGGATCTAATTTGGGACCTATCTTATTTTTATGGTTTATAAAAGAATTTAAAAATTTTGAATATCATATGGATGAAGAGGTTTTTTAGAGAAGAACTAAAGTCAAATATACAGGCGATACAAACAACAATACTTTTTCATTTACGAATCACGTATGGTTAGATCTACTAATCGATTATTAGGATATTTAACAAGACAAACGCATGTATTTAATGACATAAATGTAATTAAACTGCTCTATTTTAGCTTAAAGAGGCCTACACTTGAATTTGCTTTAATAATTTCGTATGAAGAGTACACCCCAACCCTATTAGAAATTTAAAAAAAAGTCAGAACAAGGTTTTCCGATATTCATTTTTTTTAATACCATAGGTGACCCGAATATAATATAATCAAAACAACTCGATTAAGAGATAAATTAAGATAATTTTAACTGTAAAACAAAGACGCTGTTTGATACCTTTAATAAAATAAATAGACCCGAAATATTGCAATTATTACCATCCCACGTACCTTCCTAAACATTTTAATGAATTTTCAAACCTTAATTGAACTTTTGTTTAAATAATTAATTTTTTCATTGTTTATTTGTATTTGTTCTATATTATCTATGTAATTGCGCTAAATTAGCTTGCATGAATTAATAAATTAGGGGGGAAAGGGACGGCTAATATTATTATTTGCCGTGGCGCTCCGGGGCGACTTAAAGATGACTCACAGGTGAGAAAAACCCGGAAAACTTCACCCACCATCATCGAGACGGTAATGCATAGCGATTTTTATAATCTGCATGTCATATCAACAGAAATTGAATTTCTATTAATACGACACACATCAAATCCTATACCGAACCATGCAATTTAATTAAAAATCCACATTCTGTTGTGGGATTCGAAGCCCGGCAGTCTCCGACCATAAACTTTCCTATAAATGAATATAAGCGCGTTAGACTGCTACACCACCAACCCGATGATGAGTAAAATGTATCTAATCTAATAGGTATAACCTAGTTTTCCCTTTTTGGTTCAAACATTTATTTATAATAGAATTTTTTTATAGATCTGTATTTTTTAATACAAATTACATCATGAAGGTATGTGCAGCGAAAAACTGCAAAAATACTAAACAATTTTCTAGATGTAATTTTTCTCATGTGACAGCAACCAATGTTCTGATTGGTGACGCCATATTAGTAAAAAATACTCCAGACCAATAGGGAGGAAGCAACGACGTCAACATTATTTTAAAAACCAAAAAAAACCTAAATTTTGTAATAACCACACTAATTTTGTCTTCAAGTGGCTTAAAACCTGAATATTTTTTACTTTTAGATGTTATTTTTCTCATGTGTCAGCAACCAACGTGCTGATTGATGACCCCTGACTTGTCAAAAATACGCCAGACCAATAGGGAAGAAGTACTGAGGACATTGAGATTGAGCCAGAATTTAACATGGGAAGTATAGGGAGTGACATGTCACTTCAGCCATTGCGACAACCTTCCAGATCATAAAAAAAAAATGCGGCAACGTTGATAGCTCTGACGACGAGAAAAAAAATGTTGAGGACTTAGCAGAAAACGAGGATATATTTCTCGAATACATTGCAATAAACTTTATCCCTGGTCACGATCAAGACAGCTATGGTTTAAGTAAGCAAAAATATGCGGCAAGTTGTAATTTTAATACCTGTATAAGGTTTAATAATATAGTTTGCTAAAAGTTCTATCTATTTTTATGAGTATGCCATCTTTTCCTGGTAGTTATGAATGTTCTTTGTGCTATGTTTTATAATATTTTTATTAATTTATTAATTTGACATTGGGTATGCCAAAAATTCAAACCACACTTTTTCTATCATTATTTATTACAGATATTTCATCAACTAAAAAAAGTATGCCATCTCAGACATATCTCCCCTAATAATATTTGTCCAAACATACTGAAATAATTTTTACCAATATTTAAAGCTTATTTCCATAACCAAACAGTAATTTTAGGATATTCTGTATATTTCTTGGAAACATCTTGTACTTGTACGTTGTCTACAAAATTATTACAGGAAACATTTACGCTATTAAAAGCATTGTCAGGATGTTCAAAAAATGTATCGAAACAATTTAAATTTGTCACGAAGAAAAACCCATTGAATCACGAGTAGATAATAATAATTTTCATATTTTAATCAGCAATTTAATGATTTTAAAGAATTTGTTAATTGGAAACTTTATTGCGAAATTTTTAAATAATTCTGCTGTTCGTTATTTTGTTAATTAACTAGTTTATTTCTTGATAATCATTCTACAATATAGAATACAACTAGAATAAGAAGCTGTTGAAAAAGCAGATTACTAATAACTGTTTAACTATTATTACCACCTTTAATTCTTCTTAATCTTCTTACGAATCTCACTAGCCAGTTTGGAATTCTTTTAGAAATTTCAGCTTGCAACTGTCTATAAACCAACACCAATAACACAGGAACAGCCAAAAGTTCATCCTTAAAAAGATACAACCAACAAGCAACCATAAACATAACTAAATCAGTAAGATAATCAAAGAACCGATGTACTTTAACTTCGGCTTTTGCTATTAATTCTTCTTGTTTCGAGGAACGTGAAGACGATCCAGGATAACTGTCATCAAAGGATCCTAAACCTTCAGAAGTTTGCGTCATGATTTCTTTTAACATTGGGGGCCTTGTTCTCATAGGCGATGGTTCAGTTCGTTTTCGCATTGGAGAAGGAGAAGTTTTTCTTTTTGAGGGAATTTTGTTTTGGTAATGATCCTCCAATCTTAACGGAGACGTAGAAATATTTCTGTTTTCAGGATAAGGAGAAGCAGTTTTTCTTTTTTCAGATTTACGCATGGGAGATGCTGATACTTTTCTTCCTTGGGGCACTATTACAGGTTGACTTTTTTCTCGTCTTTCTGAATCTGAAGAAGGTGAAAACGTTCGGGTTCTTTGATTTGTTGAACTTTTTTTACCATTTTCTAATTTTTGAGAGAACGTTCTGCTTTTGGTTGATGTATCACTTTTCTTAGATGTATCTGATGATTGCGAGAACGTTCTAGATCGTTCTGAATCAAAACTTGGAGAAAATGCCCGTGTTCTTTGATTTGTGTTAGCTTTATTTGCTTCTAATTCTGGAGAGGAGGCATTCATTCTGCTTGGATTTTCATTACTAGAAGCATTTGACATATGCGTGAACGTTCTGGGTTCATTTGAAGTTGATTGTATATTTAAAGGTGATTCCTTACTTTCTCTTGTTTCTGGCGATGGACTCATTGACCTTTTAAATCTAGATTCCATCTCGTGACCTAATGTTGATGTGTTTGAATTACTGCCAGAAGCAGTTATTCGCGGAGGTGATTGGACATTTCGACTTTCAATACTCTCATGTACTTTGTAAGTTGAGTACTGATCATGGTATTTACTAATATTATCGGTTTTAACAATTTGATTGTTTCCACTTACTCTAGATGAAACTGGATTTTGATAATTACTTGGTGGTAAACTACGTAAAGGGTCATATTTAAAACCTGCTTTATTATTTTGTTTGTCTTCTAAATGATTACTTGCGTATGACAGCTCCTCATTACTTTCATCAACCCTAGGTAATGATTCTATGCTCTGCCTTTGCAATGATTCCCTACTTTTATGCAAATAAGGATTCTTATTCTTATTACCATGGGTCTTAACTATGTCACCATAATGATCTATAACTACCTTAGCTTCTTCAGCGTCCTTTTGTTTTTCAAACAATCTATCTGGCAAAACAATACTTGCTGCAGTTATGCCAGATATTGTTGCTGCTGCAGAAATAGTTTGCATTAGGAATGACATCGTAGGCTTTTCAGAACTATAAAGATTCTCAGGCGTTACTTCTGATTTTTCTTCAACTGGTATTAGAGAAAATGACCTTTTCCGGCCGCTCATTGGTTTATCTTCAACTAGAGATTTTTGAAATAATTCTGCTTGAGGTAGCAAAGAAGAAGCTCTTTGCCTTTGCTTCATCGGTTTTGGTTGTTCTTTCAGAAAACTGTTATCTTCATATGTAAGTGAAGATGACCTAGGTCTTGATGGTACCGATATTTCTTCTCCTTCAGGAATCGTTCTTTTCAGTAATGGAAGGTTTAGGGAAGCTTCTGCTAACGAAATTTCTTTTTTAAAAATACTTGGTGGAATGGGTGAAAGCGACCTTTTTAATTTAGGCGATGTTGGCGGGGACATGGCAAGTGGTGAAACCTCGCCATGTTCTTTTTTCTTTAAAATTGGTTTAGGAATGAAATCTGGATCAGGAGGTTCTTTTCTTTTAGTTAAAATTTCAAATGGTTCTTTATCACTATACGGCATCATTTTTAGCCCTCTAGGATGGTAAGTATCTTCATCCTCGTCCTCGCTATTATAAAATGAGAATTTTCTATTCCTTTCAATATTGTCTTCTTCATCGTCTTCATACGAGGATTCTTCTGTACTTGAAACATAGTCATCAGCCCATTTACCTTCGTCTGCAATATTTATTTTGCGTCTTTCTGTGCTCGATTGTTTCTTCAATTCCTTTTTACTTCTTAATTCTTCGAATATTTTTTCCTCCCTTTCTTCAGATTCAGATCTTTGACGATTCATCATAAGTTCCTTTTTTTCAAGTTGTGTTAAATTGGATTTTTGTAGTTTTCTCAGATCATCTCCTCTTAAATCGTCAATGTCTTTAAGGCTATATTTTCGAAGCCGTAATTGTTGACCTGCCCCACCAGATAATCTTCTTTTAAAGGAATGTATTCTCTCTAATTCAAGTTTCTCCTGTTGGTCTTTGGAGTTAATTTGTATTTTTGGAATTTCAATGTTGAGGCCTCTAAGTTCTATCGATTTTCTTCTCCTCTCCAATTCAATTTCTTCTGCTTTGGCAGCTTCGTATAGACGGATCATTGCTCGTTCGTGAAGAAGTTCAGAGGAACTAGCACTTGTTTTTAATAAATTAAAGATTGGAGAGTCAGTTCCTAGTTCGGGAGCAGATAGGGACATTGGAGGTGGTATGGAATTTTCCCCAAAGTCAAAGTCTGAATTACCTAAAAAATATGTTTTTATTAAAATGTAAAAAAGGTGCGATAACAGTTTAGAAAAAATAAAAAGAACTGCAAAGAACTGGGAATAATTATGCATAATTATGAAACTAATATTAGAGATAAAGGAAATAGATTTCAATTACATGAATATATCACTTATTAAAAATATCTATTGGAACTAGAGAGCCAAATAGTATTAAATGATTTGGAAACAGTAGCACCTATTCAGAGAGTTATTTAAAAACTAAAAAAGATTTTGAGAAATATCTTACCTTTTTGATCATCATCAGGATACAGTACCAACATAAACTCCGAACTACCATTTAAATTTTCGCTATTTTCTCTTGATAACCTCATCTTCCTCATTTCAGGACTGGCAGGAGGAGTTTTCTTAGTAGTTACTTGCTCAGGAGGAAGTTCGATCTTGACTTTAATAACTTTATGTCCATTCGCATTCTGATTTGGACTTGGCGTCCTTGATTTATCTGAGCCACTAGAGATATTCGAACTCATGGAGCTCATAGGATGTAAATCTCTTTTAACTTTAATATCCGGACTTCCATAAGCCAAGTCTCTGGCCATTGATGATCGATCTGAACGTTCAAATATTTCTTTATTGAGTTTTGTTTCCAATTCTCTTTTATTTGATTGACTGTCTAAATCTCTTTTTGTTGGAAGAGGAGATGCTTCTGGTGTTTTTGAAGGACTCTTAACTTTAGTTCGCATGGGACGTTTGGGGGGAGCATTTTTATCTTCTAATGCAACTGGAGACGGTGAGTGACTTTCATCTACCCGAGGTGAAGATGAAGATCGCTGCTTGTGTTTTCTTCTAGCAACTGGTGTTAGTACTCCTTCGTTTATATTTGCATCTATGTCTCTAGGTTGACTTTTACTTCTAGGAGGAGGTTGTAAAATACCCCGTTTAGCATCAGGAATAAATACAACTTCAGATTCCTCACTGGGTTCACTGATTCCATAAGGACTCTCTGCTTTAATTCTAAATTTATATTCGCTTCCTTCTATTAAATCTCCCAGAATCGTAGTTAGTTGCCTACTAGTAGCAGCTTTAAGCCAAACGTCCCAACCTAACCTGTAGTATTCTACAATATAGTTTCCTATTTTGCATCCACCATCATCTCGTGGGGTACTCCATGATAAAGTTACGGTTCTACCGAGAGCCATGACGACTCTTGCTCTACCAGGCGGCGATGGCTTATCAGTAACGGTTACCAGAAAAGATTGAACATCTTCTCCTAGTTTATTCACAGCTTTTATCATATATTCTCCTCGATCCTCGCGTTCGGCGTCGTTTATTTTTAAAACCGAGGAATTATCCATGTATTCCATTTCGTATCGGTCGTTATTTTTAATCGATTCTCCATTATGGCTCCAATGGACTAATGGAGTCGGACGTCCTGCAATCGATACTTTTAATCGTATTAACTCTCCGATCTCGAAAAGCAAACCATCTTCGTATTGCCTTGGAAGCCTTATACTCGGTGGAGCATTTACTGTCAATTTAGCTTTAGTAGATACATGTCCAGCGCGGTTTGTAGCAGTACATTTGATTTCTCCTTCATCAGAAAGCGAGCACTGATGAATCGTAAGTACGCTTCTGTCCGGTTCCGTTAATATTCTGATCCTTCTACTGCTGAATATTTCAAAAGCATCTTTGTACCAGCAAATCTTCGGTGCGGGCTGTCCCAAGAAATGGACCACAAATTCAGCTTTGTCATTTTCTAAAGCAACAGTGTCCTGAAGTTCCTGAGTTATACGTGGTGATGTGACAGCTGATCGTTGAAGAGTCACAGTAATTGGTTCAGATAGCTCGCTAGGATCAGACAGACCTACTGCATTTTCTGCTCGGACTCTGAATTGGTACCTCCATCCCGGTTCAAGACCACTTATGGTTAGTTCGGTAAGCTGGACAAGTAGAGGAGTTGCCCGTACCCAGTGAGGCGAACCAGCTCGTCTATGTTCGACTAAATAACCGGATATTGGTGAGCCGCCATCGTTGATGGGTTTATTCCATCGTATGGTGACCAAATCGGGTGTAGATTCTCCATCGGAAGCAAGAGATGGTTTTCCTGGAGCATGTGGTCGAGCTGAAAAGTAAAATATTTTAATAAATAATTCTTCCAATAATCTCCAAAAAAACATTATATTAAGAACATTGAAGTTAATTAAATTAAACATACATTTTTTTATTAACAATTGCACATATTTAATAGAAACCATACATGGCGTTGAAAATTACACATACTGTGAAGGTTTTTGGTCTTAAATTAAAAAAAAAGGTGTTAAATTTAGTTAATTGAATTCGCTCTAAAATACTGAGGTAAAAGAAAATTATTAAAAAAACTAAAATTAATGTATGCAAAGGAATAAAAATTATCATAATACCTTTCGTAAGTATAACCTGGAGAATCAAAAAATACAATCATAGTACAAGATATGAAAGTATTGAGAAAAATAGCCAAAAAAGGCAGCAGCAAATACGATTAAAAGAAAACAATCAAAAAGGTATAGAAACAATATAAGAATAAGTAAAAAAGACTACCAAAATAGGTAATGGAAGCTATAAAAATAGGAAAAAGGAATAAGAGTAGGAACAAAAGAAAAAACAAAGATAAAACAAACAATTCGCACAGGCCTGGAAAAGTGGAAAATATTGACTAGCAGTTAATTATAAGACTATACTCCGACACCCTAGAAAGCATAGAAAGGGAAGATAACGTTATCTCTAATAGTATATAGTTTTCCTAATGCCAAATGTCTCTAAATAAAAGTGTTATTTAGCTACAATTGCATTTTCTATTTTAAACAAATTAGTATCAACTCCACAGAAGGGTTCTGGGCCTCTCATGGCCTTATATGAGCCTTCTCGTGCTAATTTGTGGGCCTTTTTGGTGCCCTGATATTCCTCATGGCCTGGCACTCAAGCTAGGGTCACCTTATTTTGACTACTTAGCTCTGCAGGTCTTCTAGGCTGTCTTTCACCAGTCGTGATTTGATTTCTGGTGAGAGAATTGCCTTTAGAGCTGCTTAGCTATCAGAGTATATGGCAATATTTTTCTTGCACAGTGTTGTATGGCCTAGAACACTGTAGCATATTCTCCTAGACTCAGCGAAATCGTTGTTTTCGACTTGGGCCCATAGATTCCAGCACCAGCTTAACTTTTGAACCATCTGTATATACCAGACGAGTTTAGCCTGTATGGGAGGTCCCTATTTGCAGGATTTTCGGGCTGGTATTCGGCATTCCTACGATGCATATAGATATAACGGGCTGAACCCGGGCTGAACCCAGGCCAACAACGGGCCGAGGTTAGTCAGATTTGTACTGTGTCTTATATCTACCGCCCGATGGAAAGCAAATGGACCTACTTCGATCCTATTTGGCCCGGCTTGTGGTAAGCCCGTTGCGTTCCATTGTGCTACAGATATACGACACTATAAAAATTAGACGAACCTTGGTCCGTTGTTGGCCTGGGTCCGGCCCGGGCCCGGCCCGTTATATCGATGCGCACCTCTAGAATCTTATCCACTTTTTCTTGCTGGCTCATTGGATTTTGTCCCTGCATTAGCCTGTCAATAACGGACCTGATTTCTCCTTGTATGAAGATGTGCAGTAGCGGTGTAATATTACGTCAATTACTGCAGTTTGCGTAGTATGTCTGGCCCCAGTGGCATTCAGACAGGTGAACTGCTGAATGCCAGTAAGTTGGCCAATTTCACTTGCCCCCATACTTTTGAGACCTAGACATCAGTTTTTTCCACATATCCTTCTACAGCTTATTAGAGCTATTGTAGCTTTATATGCAAGTTTTTTTAAGAGGTCGATTTCACGTCAGCCTACGGTTACTTATGACTTCTAGGTATTTGGCTTCTGTGACAAATGGAATAACCATGTTATTAAGTATTAGTGATCCTAGTTTTGCAAGTACTCGTTTTTTGTGAATGGTACAACTGTTGTTTTTTGTGCGGTAATGAACAATTGCTCCTTTTTGCATCAGTTTTTTACTATGTTTAGAGCTTCGAGACTGTGCCTTCAAATCGCACCTTGGTGATAATCGCTAGGTCGTCTGCATATCTTAGGCTCTGGTAGCCTTCTTTGGACATTATTTTAAATAAATCGTCGACTAGAACTGACCACAGTATTAAAGATAGTATTCCTCCTTATGGGCAGTCCCGTGTAACTTTTTTCTGTATAGTTGCCTTTCCTAGTGTATAGAAGATGATCCTATTCTCTAGGCTGGCAGTGATCCATTGGCATATTGTGACTGGGACGTTTATCTGATCTCGAGCCTTCGTTGCGGCATTATTAAAAGCTTTTTAGATAGTTAAGAAATTGTCTTGTTGACTTTACTAGCTGCTATGCATATTGGTTGGGATGAAGCGGATTTATTTTTAGTATCTCATCCCTCATCTCATGAATCTTTCTAGTAAGAAGGATAGGCTTGCAAGGCGATATGACTTTAGGGTGTTTTTCTGTGACATACATATTAACGAATGTTATTTTATTTTATATTTTGGTATAAGTATAAAAAATTATCAAAATGAGTTTATTTTAAAGTTTAAATAAGTGTCAATAAAATGTTAAAGTTAAAATTGTAACAACCAATCCCGGTCTCCCTCATGAGTGAAATATGTTATTAGTTAATCTTACTATAATGGTTGACTTTAATAAAAGAGCTTTAATTTTTTTTTAGACAAATCTTTTTCAAGAAAGACTACCCAAACAGGTTATGGAAGCTATCAAAATAGGAAAAAGTAATAAGGATAGAAACAAAAAAATAAATATAGATAAATTAAACAATTCGTAGAGGCCTGGAAATGTGGAAAAGATTGACTAGCAGTTATTTATAAGAATATACTCTGACACCCTAGAAAGTAGAAGAAAACTAGTAGAAGAAAAAGAAAAGCAAATTATTTCTAATAATATATAGTTTTTCTAATGCCAACTGTCTCTAAATAAAAGTGTTCTTTAGCTACAATTGAAATTTCCATTTTAAATAAATTAGTACATAATATATAGTATATATATTTTTACTTTTCTATTGGTTTAAAATTTTACTGAGGTTTATTTGTAACTAGAAATATATTTATAATCTATATGAACCTTAAAGAAAAATATTGGAAAATATGAAACGAATATAAAAACATTGCCAATTTCTGTGACGCAATTTTTTAAGATAAGTACGAGTTATGTAAGTTACAAATTGAGTAGCTTATTTTTCTTCTCTAGTCCATGATATAGCTTTAAACAATGTTCGATACAAATATAATAAATGAATCGAAAGTTTCTTTTTTTTTTTTTTTAAATAACAATTCATGCATACCCATAAAATAGAGACGGTACAATAAAACTAAAGTCCCAAAAATGACAAATACATTTAAACAGTTTGTGATAATTTGTTACAAACCTATTCTTGACTTGGAAAAGCTACTACTGCTGAAGCAACTTCTTAAAACTCCTAAATGAAAAAAAAAAATAGTATTTACTCTTGTTGATATTGCTTTCAATCAGCGAGAAAATTGATTGTATAAGAATGCTTATTATAAATTTATTTGTAGTGTTATTGTCTCCGTGACTTTAAATTTAATGTGTGATATAATTAGGTATTAACCTTAAAATCAGTTGTAATTTTCCGAAAACGTATTAGTCTCGTGTATACATTGTATAGACGTCGTGTCGGTATTTTTAACTAATAGTGATTAATCGTTTCGCAACTTGTTATTTTTTATATTATCTAGTTCAAAACAGCATTTTTTATTTTTATCCTTTGTTCCATTCTAAGAGCTGTCAATAAAAATACCAAATTTCATTTATTTATTTATTTTTTTAATAGCTATCGTTTACAAAAATTGGATTTTAAGCAAAACGATTGTTGGTGGTCATGTGCAGTATATTCGGTAAATCTTTGCCGCATTGTCATCAGTTTAAATCTAACAATTAGTTTCACTGAAAACGTCTCTCAAGAATGAAATTCTTTATAAATATAAATAAAAGGTCTGCACCGCCACCGAACACGACCCCCCACGTGAATGTCCTCCCGTCCTAAGAACCTCGGTCCCCTACGACCAGGACACACCAACTATTCCCGCACCCAATGCAGACAAGTCGGGAGAACCTAGGTCCCCTACGACCAGGACACATCAACTATTCCCGCACCCAATGCAGGCAAGTCCCTCTTTTGGGATCTGGTGTCAGTCAAAGACAGGCAGTGGCCATTTGGCGGGCTCTTACCACCCCAAGGGTGGATGCTCGGATAAACCTATTCTGTCCGCCCGATCCACAGGGCACCAACCAGACTATTGGTCACCCTCGGGATCTAACACAAACCAAACAATAACAACAATAACAACAACAACAACAACATTTACGTGTCTAGGTGGGTAGATATGTATTCGCCTCAAAAGAACAACCCCTACAACCACTATCCAATGACAAGGTCAAAATCGAGTTTAGTTCGCACAAAAAAATCCTCATACGAGATGGCTCCTGAAAACAACAAACTACCAAATCATCCAATACTGTAAACCTCAATATTCCAAAAGAACATAACAATCCCCTCTGCACTATCCCAATGAAGGAAGGCCACTAATACCTAATTAGCAAATCCTAAAGGCAGACAAAAAGGGAGGTGCTTGATAAACCAAACCTCGACTTAATACTAGCCAAAACAAACACCCAAAACTAAATTAGTTCTAACGATGGCGGCTACTATACCTTCCACAATAACTTAACGATTATCAGCAAGATCAGGTGGTTCGGGATCAGGTGGTTCCGGTTTCAGGTCTTTAGTGCTCCACATCCCCAAACTTTTACCAGATTCGTCGCGTAATTCATATGTCCAAGGAGAAATTCGTTTCTTAATATAGTATGGCCATACGAACTTTGGAGCCAACTTTGCGGAAAAATACCTAGCCGCATCAGACAACACAAAATTCCTCTTCCAAACCAACTGATTGGGCAAATACTCAACTTGACGACGACGTAAATTATACCTGTCACAACCTTTGTCATTAGCCTTAGTCAACCTACCACGGATGTCTTCATACATCTGCCTAAAGTTTTCATTTCGACCTAAGTCTACCTCAAACAGACCATTTGGACGATAATCCTTACCAGAAAGAGCCATGGTTTGGCCAAATACAGCGAAAAATGGCGTTACTTGGGAGACCTAGTGTTTCGCGGTTCGAATCGCGTACCCAATTTCATCGAGATGTTCGTCCCAACTGCGATGGTCATCAGAAACATACATTGGCAACATAGTTTTAATAGTCTTATTGATTCTTTTCGTAGGATTGGCTCTAGGACAATAATTAGGGGTATACTTAAGGTGACAATGGTACCTGTCCGCAAATCGTGCTAACTCCTTACTACGAAACTAGCTACCGTTATCGCAAATAATGACCCTAGGAACTCCAAAAACAAGAAATACCGATTTTTCCAGATAACGAACAATCGAGCTGGCTACAGCTTTACGAAGTGGGCACAACAAAAAAAACGTACTCAAATAATCAGTGACTACCAATATATAACTATTACCATGTTTAGAGCGAGGTAGCGGCCCAATGAGATCATTGCCAACATTTCAAATGGTCGACTAGCTTTTGGATGAGAGACCGTCTTATCAGTAGGTTTACCCTGAAGAGGTTTATTAGCAACACACAGGGTACATCGCTTAACGAAACTTGCAACATCGCTACGCATTTTCGGCCAATAATAGCGTTCGGCTACTCTAGCAAAAGTTTTATAAACCCCTGCATGACCCGCGGTGGGAGGATTATGCGCAGCTGCAATCACTTACCGGCGACCTTCCTTAGGGACAACTAACTTCCAAGAGTTCTCCTGACCCTCCAAACTAGAGTAACGAGGAGGAACATGTCTCCACAACTTCCCCTCAGAAACTCTCCAATTACTAAACTTCAAAGGACTATCACTGACGTTATTAATCATTTTCTTTAGCCATTTGTCGGGATCAAATACCTCGTCTTCCTGAACATTTGCTTTAGTAGCATCCACTACTGGAACTGACCCACTCAATATATCAGGGACTACATTATCCTCTCCTTTCCCATGCACAATTTGGAATGAATACTGCTGCAAACGCACGGCCCAACGAGTTAAACGTTCACTTGGATCCTTGAGACTGTTCAACCATAATAAACTGTAATGATCGGTGACCAGAATAAAATATATACATTCTAAATAATCCCTAAGAGTCTCGAAAGCCCAGAATGCTGCCAAATATTCTCTCTCGGGAGTTGAGAAATTTCGCTCTTGTCTTGTTAGAGAGCGGCTTAAGTAGCAGATCACCCTGTCGCCATTCTCATAAGGTTGGGTTAGAACAGCATCAATGCTATACCCTGAGGCATCAGTTTGTACTACAAACGGTTTCGCGTAGTCAGGACAGTTTAAGATAGGTGCCGTGACAAGGAATTCCTTAATATGACAAAAAGACTCAGCGCACTCTTCGGACCACTCAAACTTAGCCTTCTTTCGCAGTAACTTCGTAATTGGTACCAAAAGTGTTAACAAATTTGAAACAAAACGTCTGTATCATGAGAAAGTGCTTATAACACGCCTAACCTCAATGACATTCGTTGGGGTAGGAATTTCAATCATCGCCTTTACGTTATCGGGATCTACATACAACCCGTTCCTATTCACAACATAACCTAAATATTTCAACTGGGGAATACAAAATTGACACTTCTCCAAGCTGACAGAGATATTTGCCTCCCTAAGTCTATGGAATATTTCCTCTAAAATTCCCAAGTGTTGTTCAAAAGACTGACTAATAACAACCACATCATCGAGGTACACAAATACGTGAGGTCCAACACCATGGCCAAGAACGTTATCAATTAACCTCTGCCAAGTTGCTGGGGCATTATGCAACACAAACGGCATCCTCTTGAATTGAAAAAGTCCTCGATTTGGCACGGTAAAAGCGGTGTGTTGCTTGGAGGATTCAGCCATAGGTACCTGCCAATATGCCAACTTGGCTTCCAAACTTGACATATACCTTGCATCTCGCAACTTATCAAAGGTATCAGCAACCATGGGAAGGGGATTACTATCTCTTACCGTCACAGCATTGAGCTTTCTAAAATCCACACAAAATCAATAAGAACCATCCTTCTTTTTAACTAATAAAATGAGGGAAGACCAAGGACTGTTAGAAGGCTATATCACATCAAGTTCCAACATTTTCTTTCACTCCTTGTCGACTTGTTCCTGCACAACTGGATTTACCCTATACTACTGTTGCTTGATGGGTGAACTGCTGGTAACAATCACATGTTCAGTTCTATTCGTGCATCCTAAAGTAGTACCCATAAGAACAAGATTCCTATCAACTAACGCCTTAAGACTTGACTGTTCCAACGTTGTTAAAGTAGTCTGGCCCCTCACATGCTCTACACTATTTACTACCACAGGTTTATCTGAGAAATACCACTCTCTAGCTCGCAGATCAGGTACAACGCCCATTTTCCTCCAAAAATCTGCACCAAGTATAAGTAAATGAGGTAACTCAGGAACAACAAGACAACTAACTAAACTAACTTTACCTCTAAGGACAAAAGACACTTAACACTATTAGCCACTGTACAATACGAATCAACATTTTTCTTAACCGAAATATCTAAATCTAATAAAACCCTATATCTCTTACTACCTAAAATTGTACGTGAGGTTTCAGAATCTAATAACCCTAATAAAGGTTTACCTAAAAGTTCGACTGTCAAATAGGGACGCTAATCGCCTTTAGCATATTCTAAAACAAAATCCAACAAAACCTTTAACTTCCCGATCGAGTCATCCCTATCGGCGCACCTACCTCAATCATTTAAGTACGCTGGCTTCCATTTCCCGACCGATTTTGAGAACAATTAGGACAAGTTCTTGTCGTATACCCCTCCTTATTGCACCTAAAACAAACAAGGCTCCTTTTCATAAGGCAACCTGCCGCCCGATGGCCTGGCTTCCTACACCTAAAACATACTACTCTTGTGTCATTTTGAACTCTGGGCTGAGGAGATCTAGAGGAATTCGTTGGCCGATTGTCCACCAAAGCAACATCCTTATTGACCTGTACATTAGCCAAATCCGGTTCCAAAACTTGACTTTTCCTCGGTGGAGGCACAAAGTTCTCGACAGCATCCTTACGAGCTTCCAACTTCCTACCCAGCTCTTTTAAATGTGCAATAGAGGTAACATCCACTAACGCCAACTGATTTTGATAAAATGAGCCTATGTTCCTAAGTAAAATTCGCAACTTTGTCTCATCTGGAACTACACAAGTCAACCTAATAAAATACCCTAACATAACTGCTAAATAAATTCCCATAGACTCATCAGGTCCCTGTGTTCGCCTACGAATCTCTTCAAACAACTTCTCATCATAAGTCGGCGAAAGGTACTCCTCCTTGAGCAAAGTAATGAATTTGTCCCAATTGCTAA